TAATTTTATAATTTATAATAATTATTAATTAAATATACATTTTAATTTATTATATTTATATTAAAATATGTATGTAAAAGAAATATTTAATCATTTTTTATTTATAACATTATTATTATTATTATAATATCTGTATTCAAATATTTGAATACTTATAACATTATCATTATTATTATAGTATTGTATTCAAACATTTGATTATATATATAAGTTAATTCATTTTTAAGTTGTAATTTAAAAATATGAAATATATAGTTTATAATGAAATATTTAATAAGTTAATTATTATTCAATTAATTCAAAGTAATAAAAGTTTAAATTATCAATTTCTTTAATCCTTTAAAATATAATTATTTTGTTAAGATAAAATTTGATATATGATAAATAAGAATAATAAGATAAACAAATGACATAATAAAACTTAATAAATATAAATTATAAATAAAATAATATTAGTTACTATTAAGATTTATGTAAAATATTTAGAAAAAGATAAAGAATAAAAAAATTTACTTTGTTCATCAAATTGATTGAAAAGATTGAAAAAAAAACAAATTGATGAGAGAGATTAAGAAAATATGAAAAACTACAAGGTATAAGAAAGAATAATAAAATAAATTAATTGATATAAAAGATTAAAAAAGATAAAAAAATTAAAAATAGGTAGAAGAAAAATAAAAATTGGTAAAATATAAAAAAATGACCTTATATGTAATAGAAAAAGAAAAGAAAATACTTTTAAAATATTAATATTTTAAATTTTAAATTTAAATATAAAGTCGGGGCGGGGACGGGCCGAGGTCGGAGTGGGGATTGCATTACCCATCCCCGCCCTGCCTCCGACTTTTTAAAGCGGGAAAACCCGAACCCGCCCCGCCCTCGGTCAACTCGGGTTTTCCCCGTCAAACTCGGGGCGGGGACGGGTCGGTCCCCACGGGGACGGGTTTAATTGTCATCCTAAGTATCTTTAATTGATATTTTCTCAACAATTTATAGTTCTTTGTCATTTGATTTCAATTCAACTCTTATTGCAAAACTCAATCTGTTTTAATCCACTTAGTAAGCATATAATTGAGAATTTCCATTGAAACTGTTCCTCGTGGGATCGACTTTTATTTAATCAAAATACTATAATGTGATTGATAATTTTGGTATACTTGCCAATAATTCAACACTTTTCTCATTGTACAATTTATGTCTAGGCGGATATCCATGTTTCTTGTAGCAAATATCAACAATGTGACCATTTTTCGCGCAATGAGTACAAAACTTCTTCTTTTAATTATTTTTATCCTGATTGTTGGGAAATCCATGTTTTCTTCTATATCATATATTTTCGATGTGATCAGTCTGTCCACAAAACTTGCAAGTAGAATTGTTCGATGGAGTAACATTGATTTTATCATCGAGACTCATAATATTGCTTCCAAGAATTTGTCTTTCCTGCTGAACTACATATGAAAATATTTTTTGATAAAGAAAGTATTGGATCCATAAGAAGAACATGCGACTTAACATTGTTGTACTGTTTTCAAACCTCTCAAGATTTGCATGGATTAATCTTCTCTTTTAAGTTGTTTAATAGTAGGAAGAACGATACAAAAACACTTTGCTAAACATGTATAAGTGGGATTAGGTATAAAATTTTCAAATTCATCCTAAATGATTCTAAGTTTTATGAAAAACTCAGTAATCGAAAGATCACCTTGTGTTGAAGGAAAATGCTTCTAATTAAAGATAAAAATGTGAAAAAAATTACCTTGAAAATATCGAGATCTTAGATTGTTTCATATTTGTTTTTGTCCATCCATAGAATATTTTGATGTATAGTCAAAGAAACATAATGCACTATTCATGAAACAACCATGTTATTACCTTGTCGCCAAACTATGTAGGATAGATTGTCTTTTGCACGTTCTGGTGCCAAACCATTTACAAATTTAATTTTCTTCTTTGGGCTTAATGCAGGGAGCATGGATATGTTCCAAGAATGATAATTTCCTATATAAAGAATTGGAGATGCCAAACTTATCGAAGAATTTTTATTTGGATGAATATAAAAGTTGTTTGTAGAAGAAGAAGAATTTGCGTTCATAAGAGGCACTGAATCTATACTTGATGAGTCTGTCAATTTTTCCATGATACCCAAGATGAAAACAAGAAAAATAGAGAATCCAAGAAAGAGATAGTCAGAGTGCACAAAAGGGTTCTTCAAATTAATAATTCTGATACTAGTGAGAGATCTTGAGGAGACCAAATAATATATTATCAATAAATAATAAATGAATATGAAAATATAACAAAATATGAAAGGATGAGAGGTCAAAATATACAAACAAATATATTTGATAATCATTAAGTTTGGGGAGACTAAAATCATAGATGTTAATATAAGTTAAAAAACTTTGGGAGACCATGACCCCGTCATCATCCAAGAAGATCCACCACTATTTGATACCATATCAGAAAAATGAGTGGTCATTGAATAACTCATATCGAGCCTTGCTTCTTGATCTTATATCAAAGGTAAGCCTCAATGTTGTATCAAACACAAACATACCACTATATATGCTTCAATTATCGAAAGACTGTATGGATATTAAGTGTACTGATATCAACCTTGATTGTTAATATTGTATGGAGTGTGAGAAAAAAGAAATTAGACATGAGGAAAAATCAAAGAATCGAAAGGGCATGACTTGATGAAAAATCGAGCATCAAAAGCGTAAAATATAAAAGAGAGAAGAAATAGAGTGAATAACACCGAAAATTAAAAGTTGAATTTTCTTATTATGTATATCAAATTGAAGGAATTGTATATGTATTTATAAGAAGAAAAAGATAAAACGACTAGTAAAACAAGTTAGTGTAAAAATAATTTAATTTTAATTTTATTTTAACAATCTTGATTGTAAATTTGGATTTTAAGTATTAATTCAGGCATTATTTAATTACTCAATGGAAATTCATTGAAAATAAAAATGATTCAAAAATTAAAATGCGGAAATGTAAATTATTGAAAAATAAATTGTAAGAAATGTAAATTACTGATGATAGAAGAAAGACTAGTACCAAAAATGAACAAAGGTGGTGATCCAAATTGCAAAATCTCCGTTGAAATAACATTTTACTTATTCGCAGCATTTTTTAAAATATAAATGTTTTAATACAATTTGACATTCCTTCCGCTTATTTATTGTTATTTATATTTATTATCCTTTGTAACTATTAAAGAAGAAAAATAAAAATAAAAAAAGATAATAAAAATAGTTCTTTTCGTTATTAACCGTTTTTTTTTAAGTAGTTTCATTAGTTATGTAATGTTATTACCGCTTCTTATCAAATTACAAAGTTGCAACTATTTTATACTTTTCTCAATTTTATAACTTTTTTTATGTCTCTTTTGTATTTCTCGATTATTTAATTTTATTTTGACATTTAATTTTTTAATTTTTTTCTTTATGTCTTTAATCTTTCTTAATTTTCTATTCTAATCCTTCAATTCTATCTTCCTTAATTGATATCTTATATTTATAATCTAGTATTTTCATTTTCTTCTATCTTAATTTTTAATCCTTTTTATTTTTCTAATCCGTTCTTTCAATTTATTTATAAATTTTTAAATCACCTAATAAAGCCTAAATAACATAAATCTTAAATATTATTACTCATGAATATATTCTAAATATTACACTCACATTTAAAACTTAGTTTTATATCATGTTAATTTTTCTAAATTTTGAAGTAGAAAAAAAAGAAGTTAGTGTGCGATGCATGTAAAAGAATATACTAGTTTATATACCCTCATGGTAGAATGGTAAATCAATTGGGGCGGAAATATATATTTTGATATTATATTTACCTATAAAGTTTTAAAGAGAAAAACTAAAGGAGGAAGGAAAAATATCAGGGTTGGTGTGTATGGTTGCCGCTGTAGTGTTTTTATTGTCTCTCCATTTCCGCTGTAAACCCTAATTTGAAATTCCCAAAATATCTCTGCTTTCTTCTTCTTGTTCTTCTTTAACACTCATATACAGTTACACCACCAATTTCTTTCTCCTTCTCTGCAAACGCGCTGGTGCTGGGAACTGTCCGATTTTGGTTTCTTGTTTTCGCTGCTCGCCGAGAAAATTTGCGTTGTTCTCTCCTAATTCGTCTTCAACTCTCAAATTGAACTTTGCTTTCGTTCCTACACTACAGGTAATGGTTAAATTTGCTTTGGGTTTTGTGGTTTTGTGGTTTTGTGGTTGCAATTCTTTTTATTTATTTATTTTTTAGTTTCAGATGAATAAAATAGTGTACCCTGTGGGTTTTAGGTTTTGGTGGTTTCGAATATACGTGGTTTGAAGAAACGGAGTTCGTAAATTGCATTTCCAAATTGTTGTATAAGGTCTATTGAATTGCTGTTTAGTGTAGACTATAAAATTGTTTTTTGATTTTTATTTATTTATTGTTGGTTGGTACTTGAAGTGGCGTATTTAAATGATTTTTCTGAGGGATTTGGTTTGGATTGTTTAATGATACTAAATTTTTGGTGCTGTTGTGAAGTTTGTTGATGTATGTATCTGTGTGCGTATATATATAGATGTCTTACGTGGGAATATTGAATGTGGAGATTTAATTGGTGTTAATGTCATTGATAGTGTTATAAAGAATTTGGCATTTGTGGTGACTTTGTTGGAGGTTATAGAATTGAGCAAATATGAGATTGTCAGATTTGTTTGGGAAAATCTTGGAGATGGTCAATTATTCATTTCAGCTTTTGATTATTAAATACAAGTGAAAACATTGAAGGGATAATTCCCAGCCCTAGTATGTTTTGTTGACCTCATTAGGGTTTATATTTTACTTATTTTGTACATTAGTGCATCATGTTGTTTCTCATTATTGTATTTTATGGACAGGGGACTATTATTTAATGTACAATAGTGACGAGATTATAATGTTGTGTAGTTTATACAGATATACATCAAAGCTAAGTTTCAGTAGCTTTCAACTTCATGGCTGGAGTGTTGCTTGGTGATACCTCTCATCATGGAACTTCTCAAGGTGTTTCTCAAAGATACTCTCAAGAGAGGTCAGAGGATGGCTCGAGGTGGTACTTTTCTAGGAAGGAAATTGAAGAATACTCACCATCCAAACAGGATGGCATAGATTTGAAGAAAGAAACTTACCTACGCAAATCATACTGTACATTTCTGCAAGACTTAGGCATGAGGCTTAAAGTGTGAGTCTTTGTTAGTTGCCTCACTGACCTATCTTAATTCAATAGTTTTTTTTTTTAATTTCCTGTTTAAGACATGTGGTTTATTGTATGCATCCTTGTTTCCTATTTGTTCGACTGATATGAATGTTCTTCTAGTGGAAAAATGTTTTTTTTTTTCCCTTTTATTGTACTGATGGTAAGAATTGTTAGATTTAATTTATTTCCTTGTAGGAGAGCCAGAGCTCGTTAGGAATACCGTAGCAACTTAATGTGTTTATGTATTTAAGATATTGCTGACACTGAAGGGACAACATTTGTTTATCTCTATTGTCTTATTAAGATTGATGATAGATGTCAATTAATTTTGATGCCGATATTGATTTAATTTTGTTGCAGACCTCAAGTAACTATTGCAACTGCAATAATATTTTGTCATAGATTCTTTCTCCGGCAGTCCCATGCAAAGAATGACAGGAGGGTAAGTTTGTATTTTGATATGATAACTTTCCCACTATTATTATTGGATAATTGTTCTTGGTGTGAATAAATTTTTTTCTTTATATGTTAAATTATGTATTTTAATGAGCAGTGCTAGAAAATATATTTTTTGGATTGTTTATACCTTCATGGCTATTGAATGTGAATTAATTTATTTTGATGACTCTTGGTCAGTACTATTTATCGATGCAGAATAGTATGTTAATCAAAATTATCTCCTAATGTGGTATGCATTCAAATTCAGAAAAATAGCGCCAATTAAAAAAAAAAGGAACGAGTGTGGGCATTCTATTCTTGAAAATCACCAAAAAAAGAAAAAGAGAAAAGGAAAGATATGCTTCAGTCATTTATATCTCTTATGTTGTTAAATGTAAAACTAATGGGTTATAGCTGAAGATTGGTTTATTTAATTTGTGTGGTTATATCTATTAAATTTGGCACTAATTAAGAAAGTGGTGCACTATTTGATACAATATGGTAGAAGTTGTCATCTATACTAATCTATACTTATATATAAAGGTGATACCACTTTTTGTATTTGTCTTTGTTGTACACATTTTTGTGTAGAATTTTATCCTAACATTTTGATAACTGTCTTTTTTATATATAAATTGCTGTTGCTATTTTTATTTTTGTATTTGTCTTTTATTTTGATAACTTTTTTTTATATAAACTGCTGCTGTTGATATATATAAACATTTTGTTACCACTCAATCCTTATTTGATGAATCTTGCGCGTGATTTTTTTTAGTTTTAGATCAATCTTAACCAGTAATTAAGAGTTTGTTATGAATAAGATTGTCCATTTGTTGCTAGCACTGTCTACACAATGTCATAAACCAACCAGTAATAAGTAGGTTTATTTTACATTTAATATGTTAAAAAGTCGCTGTAGTGCTATTACATTGTGGAATTTCTTGGATCTGCAATTGTGTCTGTCTGCTATTGCGGTTACCTTGGGTGTCATGGTTATAACCATGTTTATCAAAATTACAAGTCAACTAATAAACTCATTCTGCACCCTCAAACCTGGTTAACTAGCATGTAATCCTGTTTGAGTGGGCTTGTGCAAACATGCTCAAACTTGTATAAAATCCCAAGTTTGGGGTTGATTCAGTGAGCTCAGTTGGACATTAAATTAAGCCAAAAAACAATACTGAATCTGTTTGGTTTTGGATTGTGATTTTTTCAGATCACACCTGATTCTATTCATTTAGGGACTCGACTACCAGTATTAATTGTGTTCTCCCATCATATTGGTTCAGTTTTGTGTCTCAACACACTCACTTGTTCTCCTCTGTTTTGGTACAACCATGTTTGCATCTGTTGTGGTGTTTCTTTTTATGTTTTGTTTTTCTTCCATCTTATTTATTATATTTGCTATCAAACATTTCTGCATTTTATTTTTATTATGAAGTTGAAATGTTAAATTATTATGCTATTCTATGTTTTTTAGAATTTTTTGTACTAAGTAAACTCTTAATAGTTTACTGATCAAGATTGTGAGTTGAGTTTATGGAACCATCATGACTTTTATATAAATTTTGACAACCTTGTTTGTGACACTTATCCTGCATCCTTTTCATCTCTGACTAGTCTTCACCCAAATGAGCTTCGAGTTAATGTTATGTTAACTTTTGTACATTTTATCTTTATTCGCCTACAAGTTAATTTTTTATACATATATGATATATTCATATTGTATATTTCTATTGATATGCAACTTCTGCTATTTGCCTTCAATTATATCACGTATATCATTTTCTGTAGTGGAATGGACAAGACTGATTATGTTTCAAACACATTAAATTGTTGAGACACAATTGAGAGAATATTTTAATATTTTCCTTTTATTGTACAACTTATTGGGTGGTGGGTCAGGGTCCTAGTCTTCTAGTTGCGTAATCATTGTCTACCCCAAGCTGCTTCTGAGTCTGAACCAAAAGTGAGTTATTAGCAGTTTTCCCTAAAAAATGCATGGAATAAGTATGCTGGATAATCTTTATTCGTGTTAATAAAGAGTAAGGAAAATGTATTTCATCATAATGGAATGTGGTTTATCTCGGTTGTAAAACTGCAGCATTATATATTGTTTGATTTTTCCTGACATTTTCCATCAACGCTGCATAATTTGTAGCTATGGATAAGTATCTTGATGAATATTTGGCTGTTTTATAGTCCTGCTTTAGTAATAAGATTGGTTCTGAGGCCTGATATGTACATGTAATTGTCAAGATTTATATTTTTATTTACTTTCCTGTGATGATCAGGATTGGAAATTGTTATCCTGTTAAATCAGTAGATGGATGCTTATTTGTTTTAGTAACATGTACTCCTGTAGTGTGTCAGGTTAGATTTAATATGTAGGACTGCCTATAGGACTTTCACAATGGCAAACATTATATTTGTAGAATTGTTCTATGCCAGTGACCAACTAGCTGGTTTCTTTGTTAGTTTTTGAGGTTTTACCCTGCTATGTAAATCTTGCGGCGGCTTCTTAGTTTACTTGTAATTGTTGTTTTCATCATTTAGAAAACTTATTTCTTTCTTTGTCTGGCTGTCTTACGTATTCAATGTCTTTCTCAGCATGTGTTAGAACTTGTCGATATGTATCTTTGCATGAGTAGTCATAAATTCTCTTTTGCAAAGGATGAAATATTGAATTGGACACGTGTTGATAATTTGTAACACATGTTCTGCAGACCATTGCAACAGTATGCATGTTTCTTGCTGGGAAGGTTGAAGAAACTCCTCGCCCACTAAAAGATGTAATTCTTATTTCATATGAAATTATTCACAAGAAGGATCCAGGGGCAATTATGAAAATAAAGCAGAAGGTATTTATAAGCAATCTTTGGTCCCAAGTCCCCGATATTTAAGTATACCTGTTAATTTATTGTTTTCTTTGCAGGGAATTGATATTGACTTGGACTTTGCAAATTATATGTTGAAATTGATTTTTTTTTTGTTTTTTTCTTATTCTGTTTGCATTTGTTTAACTGTGTGGTGATTTATTTCTAAATAAAATTCTTTTGAAATTCTCAGTCTTTCCTATCTCATAATATATTTTTCTCGTGTGGTTGTGACACAGGAAGTGTATGAACAGCATAAAGAATTAATTTTACTTGGAGAGAGGGTTGTTCTTGGAACTCTTGGTTTTGATCTCAATGTGCATCATCCTTATAAACCTCTTGTTGAGGCCATAAAGAAATTCAAAGTTGCTCAAAATGCCCTTGCTCAAGTTGCGTGGAACTTTGTAAATGATGGGTATGAAAGTTATACTATTTTTGTTCCGGCCAGTAGCCTTTGATTTTTCTTTCCTGAAATTATGATGTGATATGCAGACTTCGGACATCACTTTGCTTGCAATTTAAGCCGCATCACATTGCAGCTGGAGCCATATTCCTTGCTGCCAAGTTTCTAAAGGTGAAACTCCCGTCAGATGGGGAGAAGGTCTGGTGGCAAGAGTTTGATGTCACTCCCCGCCAATTGGAGGGTTGGTGTCTTTTTATTCAGTACTAGTGGTATAAAGAAATGAGGAAAAAAAGTACCATCTCATTGTCAACTCTTTTTTGTCCTTCCTCTTATTCATGTTCATCTCTCTCTGTGATGGTATCTTAGAATTTATCTATGTAAGGAGACTGGTGCAATCATAGTAAGTTCAAATATCATATTATCATGATGAAAGTCCAATTTTGTTCCTACATTTTGCAGAAGTGAGCAATCAAATGTTGGAGCTATATGAACAAAATCGAATGCCACCTTCAACTGAAGTTGAAGGAGGTGGTGGGACTTCTAATCGAGCCACTGCAAAAGCTCCAGCTACTAATGATGAAACTTCCGCTGCAAAGAGTAATCCCCATACTGGAGCCACTAGACTCGAGACATCAAAGCCTGTGTCTTCTATGTTTGATTCATCAGTCTCAAATCATGTTGGACGCCCCATCTCAAATCACGGTAGAATTGGTGATTATGGGAGCACAGAAGTGAAACACAGGGTGGAAGGTGATGCCAAGGGCAATCAACATCCTGAGTGGGAAGCAATACCATTTAAGGACAACTTACATGAAACTCAAGACATGGTTAAATTTCGATCTGATAATGGTGAAAAAGAGCTAGAAAACAATGCTGGAGGGACTGAAACGAAAGAACCTACTGATTTGAAAGATAAACATGGTACGAGAAACCTAGATCATAGAGAGGATGCATTTAGCCGGCCTCCTCAGGAAGCCATTAAGAAAATTGATAGGGACAAGGTAAAGGCTGCATTAGAAAAACGAAGGAAAGCAGCTGGTCATATGACTAAGAAAACAGATGTCATGGATGATGATGATCTCATTGAAAGGGAACTGGAGGATGGGATTGAACTGGCTCCTCAGAGTGAGAAGAATAAGGATAAGAGGCAAAGCTGGTCTAAGCCCTCTGACAGGTCAGATTATGAGAACATGCATGGAAGACATCAAGATTATGCAGATGAGCAACATCATGGAGTAAAGGGTATGTCTTCATATGAACCTGATCTAAGTGCTGTTGAAGAAGGGGAGGTATCAGCTCTTGATGACATCGGCCTTCCATCACCCAAGTCAAGCAATCGCAAGAGAAAAGCAATAAGCTCCCCTGACAGAGGGATGGAGGGGAAGCAACGGCATAATTATGGCCCTGGACCTCACCACAATAACCGGTATGACTATGTGGAGGATCGAAACAAGGTCAGTCGACTAGGCCATACTGATAGGGACGGCAAAAGGCATGTACAAGAAAACCATGTTTGAATAATGTTACCATGGCTGTGGCCCGTGTGTACAATGTTAATCTTCTGAAATATTTTCTGGACGGGAACTTGCTTCTTAGCGAAGATCCTGGAATGCTTTCAGTTCTGGTATGATGCAGCCACCTTAGTCTACCATTCAAGCTGTCAGTTCTAGGAACTCTATTTGTTTGAAGGACTTAAACAAAATCAATTTTGCTGGAAGGACCAATTTCATTTACTCAATATATGGGCATATGGGAAAATTGTAAAGTAGAAAGAGGAGGGTTATATAGATTATAGTTGGACACAATGGAATGTCCATTTTCCCGCAAGATCAATCCATGTTTGGGTGATTCCCCCTTTGAAATAATAGTGTAGTCATGATGAAGATAAACTCGGCCTATTTACTAGATGAAGGATTCTAAGTATCATTGATCATATCCTACCGTTAGTTCTTTGAAAGCATGGCTGTTATGTTTGTAGTACACTTGGAACTGAATGTTAACGAATGTTTCTGACATGTTCCCTTTGAAAATGGGAGCATGGATGCTCCTTACTATTTCACCCATCGGATATGAAATTAAAGACATCAACGGTCCATAAAGATCACTGACATATGATGTATAAAAAATTGCAAAATAGTTCCTCCGTATATAGTTGAACAATACAACTGAATAAACTAAATTACAATATTATTAATATATAAAGAGATATTTGAGATGAGGAATAAAATAGTGAAAATGTAAGTTTTTTTTTTTTGTGAAAGGCGAGGGGCAAGGACTTTGGATTAAAACAAAGCAAATAACTAAAAATACAAGGGTTTCTAACTATTCATTGATTTAGCAAATAAAAATGGGGTTGTGTATAGGGGAATTGGTAGTCTCATAATATAGTGAAAATATAGGTTGAATGTTTTTTTTTTTTTTCTCTTTTAAAGTTATATATATATATATATATATATATATATATATATATATTATTTAATATTTGAATGTTTAACAAAAAATAAATAATTTTTAATTTTTTTATATTTCTTTTTATTTTATTTTAAATGGGTCTTTATATATGATTATTAATATATAGTTTAATTGGTGTGTATATATATATATATATATATATATATATATATATATATATATATATATACATATATATAAAACTAAGTTACATTTTATCTTAATAAGATTAAATTGTATTTTAATAATGATATATAAGGATTTATTGAAAATAAAAAATATTATGACAGTACAAATTACTTTAAACATTTTATTTTAATTATTTAAATTTTAAGATTAAATTAAAAAATATATTTATTTTATATTAAATATAAATTCAAATTTATTGTAACAACACATAAAAAACAAAGAAATGGGATAGCATTTAAATAATCGAATGTAATTGATGATGCTTGAAAATTTTGAATTAATATATTTTATTATTATTATAATAATTAATTAAAAAATTAAATTAATAAATAAATTTATTAATAATAATTAAATTTATTTAAATTAATATTATTTTTTATTTCGATAAAGAAAAAATAACACAGAAAATGAGTAAAATAGGTTAATTTTATTTTATTGTTTTAGCTCGGTGAAGGAGAAAATAATAGAAGGGAAATCATGTTTTTGTTATTGCGTTGCTTTTCATTTCTCTTTTGGACTTCCAAAGCACCCTAATGTTTTTCGGTGTATTCCTCACAATTGTATCTGAAGAAAACCTTTAGAATAAAAGGTTAAATATATTTTTACCTCTTATTTTTTAAATTTAATTTTAATTCTTATAGTTATAAATTATTAATTAATCTTACATTTTATGTAGTTTTAATTTTATTATATATTTAATCCTTTGTAAAAAAATGTATTGTGGACAGTAGAATTTACATTTTTAATTTGTAATCTAGTATCTATAATATGTATTTACATTTTATTTTGTATTTTTAATTATTCATAAAACAATTCTCTGTTATTTCTTTTATAAATTAAGAGTATTCTTAATTTGTTTTGTTTCAAATTAAATTTAGTCGAATTCGGTTTTCAATTTAATATAAATCTTGAATCGGTTTAGATAATTGTTTTTAGTTTTTATTTTTATAAATTATTAAATATTTTTTCTTAAAAAAATTTCTTAAATAAAAGATATATTATATAATAATTATTATATTTATAAAAATTAATATAGTTTTATAATTAAAAATTATAATTTAAAGTTATTATAATATATTTAATAGGTAAAAATATATTGTAAATATAATACAATCGAATTATAAACCAACTTTAAAAATATATAATTATATGTATTTATTAATTAATTATTAATTTTAAATACATAATATTATATTTAAATATAATAAAAAGTTTATATATTTTTTTTAAATTCTAATTCAAAATCCAAATGAAAGTTTAACTTTAAAAAAAAAATTGATAATTTTTTACTTTATCGATACAATTCTAAATCATAGTTATAATTACCTCGTCAACCACTATTAACCTTTATTTTCTCTTATTCTATTTATCTAAAAAATATATATATATAGAGACTTAAGTTGCTTCTTCTGCCTGTTGATAAAAATACGTAGTGAAATATTTTGAATGATTATTATCCAAATCTGAAGTTAATTTTAACAAATATGAATTTAGATACTATTTTCAAATAATTTTGATGTTAAGTTTAGATTGCCATGGAAATTATTTTAACATGTATTTTAAAAAAATTATATATTAAATATTTACAAATTAGTAACAGTTTTGAGTTAAACGATTTCTGCTTATTATTATTGTTTGTTTTCCATTTTCTCTTTTAACTTTTAATTACAAGTTCACACACACACACACACACAGATATATATATATATATATATATATATATATATATATATATATATATATATATATATATATATATATATATATATATAGTTTCTATTTTTTTTTAAGAAAAAAATAGGCTGTTCTGAATTGGGCCATACGCAACTTTTTGATGCCCAAGATGGAAAGTCCAATTTCAAGTGACATATTTTTGCACTTTCAATTTTAATCAGTCATCATTTTCATTTAATTATTAGTCAATTCTAAGCTCTTCATGTAATTAATTAACTTTGCAAATCAACATATATCTTAATGGATTAACATTGTTCAACAACAAAGATTCTTTGACAATTAATCAAGCTCTTCAATGATGCTTTGCAACTCAATTGCTCAAGAATCCGTGAACCAAATCCAATCAAGCATTGTACAGGCTCCATATATCTAATCATTTTTCACTGCTATTGCTGCCACATGCCTTCTTTTAATATTGTTATCTTTATGGTTTTCCTGTTTAACTTTGACATAAACTTTCCTCTTTTCTAGTATTTATGGAAAAAATGATCCAAATAAGGTTGAAGTGAAAGTCTGGTTGATTTCTGCAAGATTTTAGTTTCTTGTGATCACGTGTGGCGGAAGATTCTTTTACATGAACATGGAAACTCTGATTCAGTCATATAATCTGCAAATTAAGAGAATGCTGCTAGCAGAAACATCTGGATTAGGTCAAGTTTTGACCTTCTGTATATTTGTTACCCTTCTTGCCTTCTGCTCTGGCATATATCTGCCACATAATATTCTGCATTGCAGGATATCTATGTTATGATAGAAGGTAATTATAGAAGTAAATGTTGAAGTTTCACATCCATTTACTATACAATATAATTATATAGTATATAAATAAGAAGATGTAAAACTGATTTTTCAGATGTAAGTGAAATGCTTATCCATTTCTAATATGAAATATATATCATGATTTGTGTGCTGAAGTTTACTTCATTTTAAGATCTAAGAGACATTGGAAAGAAACAAAAGAAAAAAATGTATCTTCTACGGGTGATTGGGGTTGCATACAAGAGCTTGCACAACACTAAACTGGTAAGAGAGTCCCTAGTCCCTACCACAGGCTTCAAAATTGTGATTCTTGTAAACACTTTTTTCTTTTTCTCCTCATTTGAGTATCTTGGAAAGAGTTAGAACAATAAAAGTAGATGGTAGCGTTTAGACAAAGGGTGCATGCCTGATCTGAATTGCTAATGGAAAACTGATCCTGTAGAAGAAAAGCATGACAAATCTTTGAGCAATGGATCCCTCTGGTTGCAAAGAGATACAAAATAAGTGTACTATGGAACAGAATAATTTTGCATTGATAAATGATGGAAAACAGGAAAAAGATACCGTAGTGATCTTATGCGCCAAAAATCAGCCCTAGATTCATTTCCGTGCAACATCCACCATTGCCCCAACATGACTCTGTTGGCTCCTCAGCCACTTGGGAAGATAAAAGTAGATGTGAAAGACAGACATGTGTCACCTATTTGTTCAACTGGTTTCATGTGTTTTTTCGATTTTTGGTGCACCCTTTAACGTTGTTTTGGTTTAATTTGGGTCTTAAATTATAACCATTAAGTTAGCCTATATGTTATGTTGTTAATCAATGATTAGATTCTCCATGAGTGAAGGCTTTTAGATTATGATTTGCTAAAACAACTACAATATCATCATCGTTTTGGAACATTTCACAGTTGCATTGTAAAATTGTAGTCACATTTGCCCACACTGATGTGACTGCAAATGTGACTAGAATAGCAATTTAAAAACAAAACTAAGAATTCGAGGCTACCTTTCCCATTTTGATCGTAGTTTTTAATACTATTAACTGATCCCAAACATATCTCTTATCACCACTTAAAGTTGCTTGATTTCAAAGCAAGTACAAGATTGTCGTTTGAACTTTGAAGGCACTCATTCAATTAGTCAGAAAATTTAAAACTAGCCATGCATTTCCATTTTCAATATTCATTCCTTTAGAGCTTGATTCGACTGAAGTAAAAAAATAAAGTTTTATTTTATGTCAAGTAATTACTATTTATACTTAAAATGATAAATTATTAAGTAGCCTTTAATAATATTTTATTACTTTTTCTAAACAAATTATACAATTCTGTTAAAGTGATCCCGAATTTTTTTTTCTCAAAATTCCTCCATCAAAGACAAAGGACTTATGAAAGATAGGGCAAAGAGCATCGAAGCAGTGTGTCAGTTCAAAAGATTCGGTCAAAAAAGATAAAAAGAAAGACATGTTGCCACGAACTTTTGTTACATCACAAACTAAGCAAAAAGGTTTGCCATTATTAAGACAGATTAATTAAGCTAAACTGATTACATCACCTGATTAACTGTGGTTTTATTACCATGTTTAGTGAAGATGTTTTAACAGTGGGAAAAATATAATAATATTTGTTACCAAAGGTGGGACACTTTTCTGGCTTTGGAGTTATTATTGCAAGTGGGAAAAAAGAGCACAACATGCAGAAGCACCTGATACTACGTACTGTCACGAAGATAATCATCTTGAATTCTATCTATTTCTTTGCTTTTTGTGGCAAATAGTCAGAGAAAGATGAAATTTGAGGGAGAAGCTACATGAAATGTTGTTTACCAAGTTGGCCATCATCATCCTTTAATGACGGCTGATACTTATTAGCAGCAGTATGGTGGGAGGCCAGGAATCTTAGCAGATAACAAAAGATTGTGCAAATGTATATATGCTTTTTACAAAACTGATATTGAACCAGATACCCTTTCATCAAACTGGTAGAAAGTGTCATGGAAAAACAAAAATATCTTTATGATGAGTTGAAATATCTATTAGTTTATATGCTTTGGACAACCTAGGTAAACGATAATGCTCACATTGTTGTTGGTGAATATTATGTGAACTATTTTATATGGATGATGATGATGATGATGATGTTGTTGTAGTGTGTGCTCTCAGACATCAAGACAAAGTTCTTTTTAAGCACCTAACCAATTCAAGTTATATAATATTATCACCAATATGGATGTTGTTGTGACAATGGGGACCTTGAATTGAATCATACGCAACTTTCTTAGGTTTATTTTAAATTATATCTCCTAAAAGTGACCTCAAACACCACTTGTTGAGTTCATGTGAGAATTTTCTTGAATACAACTTTCTGTTCAAGTGGTGGTGCTTCAGAACACTGAAAATTAGGGCAAATTAAGAAATGTTATGTTATATTTATGGATTCCTATATATAACCTTAAAAAGTCCTCAAAAACAATAATTTCAAATTACAAATTTTTTTATTGAAATTGATTGTATATTAGTGTGTGAAAATATTTTTCTTTTGCTTTTTATTTTGTTACACTGTAACATAATTTAAAACTATTGTTTCAGTCTCTGCATGATAAAATCAATGGTTTCTAATAATATGTTCTCTGTTTATTTTTTTTTAAATATGCTTAATTGTTCAGCTGATAAATATATTAGTTTATAATTTATTAATATAGATATTATTTAATTGTGATGAAGTTAATAATAAGTGGTTAGAATTTAAAAAGTGTGAATATAGAAATCTATAACTAAAAAGTGTTAATAAAAGCAGTAACGTTTAAAAAATCTATAAATATAATATAGTTTTAAGTTAAATTTAACATCAATTTTTTTATATTTTTTATATTTTACTTTATTCATGACTCTTAAATTCCAACATAATTCTCTCTGTTTGCTTTTTAGAACCTGCAAGAAAATATTTATTATTTTTAACTTCCTAAGATTTTATAATTATTATTTTTTAAATATTTATTATTAAACATGGTTAATCTAACGCTAAAACTGAAAACTATTAATTAATTAATAGATTTAAAGTAAATAAATAATAATTCAATTTAAAATAATTATATTCTTTAGGTATGTAATTTAATTAATTAATATATTTATCATTTAATACGAATAAGATAATTATATATTACTTTATTTTTTTATCAAACAATTTTATTTTAACATTATATTTGTATTTAAAATATTTATGGAGACCCTTATAATTTATTTTCTCTATATTATTTTTCATATCATAATTTTGAAAGATAAAATATTAGTTTGTAATATATCATAAAAAAATGTGTTATAATTTTTTTTCGAATTACTAATTATAATATATTAAATTATATATAACTTTTTTTCTAATTTTGTTTTGAAATAATTTCATCTGTAACATTGATATATTTTCTTTCTAATCATCATTTACTTATACAATCATAAATATAAGACTATCAGAAATGTCAAAGATTTAAAATTGATAAATATTTTTGCATGAGTAAAAACAGACAAAGTCATATATATTATGGAATTAAGATATATTTAAATTTTTAATATTATGTTGGTTAATAAATTAAGTATGAAGAGAAAAAATAATCTAGATTTATGATCAAATCATACAAAATATAATACATGATTAGGTATATAGAAATAACCAACCCTAAGAGAATATAAAATAAATAAATTAGAATGTAAATAATCAATACCAGTAGTTCAGAAGGGTTAAGGAAAAACAATGTAAATATATTGAAGATGTGATTTGGATTTCTCGAGTTTAATTTTAACAACAACAAAAAAATAAAAATAAAAATGATTAAATAAAACCAAAAATAGTGATCTTTTCATTTTTAATTTTTTTCATCAGTTTAAAAAAATATAGATTGAATTGATAATTTGAAGCATTTTAATCACATATTTTGGATACTCCTAATACTGTTACTTCTATGTTCCAAGAAGAACATATTTTAATCACGTATTTTAAGATGTAATTAATGTGAATTTTACATCTCATTATATAATTTGATTATATACTTAGTAGATCATCCTGACACACTCCATCTAAAAATTATAATAGTATGTGTTATTAACATTGTGTGTTATGGAAATCAAATTTTCAATTCCATGATATGTAGTGACATTAAATGAAATATATATTTTTTAAGTAAATTATTGAGATAAAATTCTAACCCTAGATAGAAAACAATATCAATAGATTTATAACAATGTAATTAAAAATAAAAAATATACATTTAAAAAAATACATGAATTATTTTATCAATAGTATATTATTTAATCAGAGTAACAGTTTATTTAACTTATTAATCATCTCGACTTATTAATAAGTCTTGGAGAGCTAAATTAAGTATTTCATAATTGTTAAAATGACATCAGAGTTTATATTTTTTAATTTATTTTTAAGATTTATAATTTTATATTAAATACTTATTTATTATTAATAATATTATATTCATTTCAAAGATTGTTATTAATTTTATTCTATCTAAATATACAAATTGTTTTATTATTGAATTTTAAGATTATCATATTTCTAACTAATCTTAAATGTTTTTTATGATTTTAAAACTTGATATCATATTAATAGAATTTATGTTTTAAATCAAATAATTTATTTCTGTAATTTATTATTTGAGATAGTAAAACATTTATTGCTGTGTATAAAAAAATATATTTATTACTAATAAAATGTCTACAGTTCTCTTTGAATTTATTTTTATTTATAACTTTATTCAAATATAAAATTATTAGTTAAAACAATTTAATTATATTCATACATCTCGAACTTCTATTTAATACTCAACTAATTTTTCTTCCATCAACAAATTTAATTAAAAGTAAAAAATTATGTTGAATCACAATTTTAAATTCCTCTTTAATATTAATGTTATTGGAGTTGAAAAGAGATGTCCAATCATGAATAAGTACGTGAATGAGAGAAAAATAAATAAATAAATAAATAATCATTTTAATAAATATTAAACTTGTTTATATAGTAAAATATATTATACTTACTCAAAATATATAAAATAATTAATGTGGTTTTTAAATATAGGAAATGAATTATATCAAAATATCTTGAATATTATCGAAATACTTAAATATTTACATTTCTAGATAATTATATATTTGATTTTTTTTTCATACACTAACTTTTCTTTCATCAATCGCTTCAATTAAAAGTAAAAAAGTTTGCTTCAATCACAATTTCATTACTTTTTTTCCCTTAATTTTAGTTCTCTTACTTTTAATTATATGCGATTTCAATCTCTAGTTTATTTACGTAATTTTGGTTCATTAATTTTTTCATTAACTTGTAACTTTGTTTCATTTTTTAATTTATTTATATGTAGCTTTTTTTTTGGACGTGACACGTTAAGATTAAGATTGGAGGAATACGTATGATATTCATGATTTTTTCACGGAATTAAAAAAAGTAGTAGTTAAAGGAACATGTTACTAAATGTAATTCATATAGTGCTTTGATATATTTATGAAACTGAAAATGAAATAAAGATACATATAATTATAAAAAAAAGTAAGATATTAAATTGTAAAATAATAAAAAGAAAAAGGAATCAAGGACTGAAATTATAGAAGATTAAAATGTAACTCGTTATTTTATTTTACTCTATCTTCATGTTCTTATTAAAAACCTACGTTATAACTAGAATAATATGCATTCTAATCAATTTTCAATAGCGCAATTAATTCATTAAATAATTCTAGTGTCATAAATATAAATTATATGCTAAATAATTTATGTGTATCATTTTTATTATCACTTCAAAATTTCATAGTGTTTGAAAAATAAACTACCGCACGCACACACAAATATATAAATTAAATCAATATTGTCTTTTTCAATAAGTTATCATAAACAAAATTATTTTTTTAACATTTTAAAATTAAATTTTTTAATACTTATATAATTCAATTTCTAAATTTTTGTGATCGATAAAATAATCTTGTTTTAAATAGTCATTTTATATTTTTACTATATTTTAGGCGTATCTATAAATTCATATGTGATATACATTGTACTAAGTATATATAAGTTAATAACCATCTTTTAAAACAGATATTATAATATAAGTTAATTTTAACTAGATTTTTTTATCTCGTTCTAAAAGTACTTATAAAAATAAAGCTCATACATATTTATTTTTATTTTCATATCTTACTATCAGATATTTTTATCTTGCATGCTTGTATTATTAATATTAAAAAATTACATATATATTTGAAACTAATTTGTATTTTAAAATTAGAAAGCTGATAAGTTTTCAATTATTTAAGTAATACATATTTCATTCACTTACGTGTATAATTAAAAATAATAATAATATAAAAATGACGCCACTCTTGATAATTTTAAAAATGTTTAGTTATAAAGACATATTTGAAGAGACTCGTACATTATTATTATTATTATTATTATTATTATTATTATTATTATTATTATTATTTAATCACAATGTTTAAAAGAAGTTATTGAAAACAGATTTTGTTGTCATTAGAGGTGTTAATATGGATTTTAATTCATAGGTCAACTCGACTCACCACAGGTTTGAACTAGGTTGGGTTGGATGTTTTTTATTTTTGTTGAGTTAAAAATGAACACGACTCACTTAACCCATGAATTAAGCGGATTCGAACCGGGTTATAGTGGGTTGACTTACAATCTATCGTTCATTTTAAAATAATTAATAATTATTTAGTAATTTTAATTGATTTTTTTTCTACCTCTATTCCATGTCGTCACTACAAGTCAAACTCTTATTCAAGGTTATCATTAATTACTTTATAATGTTTGTCGCGTTTCAATTGCATAATAACTTTTGTCATGTCAACGCTACAACGTTTCAGTATCGCATTTCAATCGCGCTACAACATTTGTCACGACCGCATTCATCATGTCACCACGTTACCATGTTTCAGTTATATCATAGCATTTGCCGCATTTTAGTTGCATTATAGAGTTTGTTGTGTCACCTCGCCATTACGTTCAGTCGTGTTTATTAGAAGAAAAAAAATATGGGTTAGTGAGTTAACCCACCTAACCCACCAACCTGTTGGTGGGTTGAGCCGGGTTATGAAATTTCTAATTTGTCATAAAGTGAGTTGAGTTGAACTCATATATTTTTCAACTTAATCCGTCGTGAACTAATCTGTGTAAGTCGGATTCGCTCACTTTCAAACCCTAGTTGCCATTCCCCATCTGACGTAGAGGAACAATTCCTGTATCTGAACAACATATATATACTGTACTTTCATGTTAATTAATTGCTCTATGTAATGCATATATATTCAATCTTCTCTTTCAATTTATATACCAAGCAATTCCCATTTGATTTGTTTATAATCAAGTGCAGTCAAGATGTTTGTGAAATTGTGTTACCTGTGTTCCCAATCAAATAAGTTTCAGCAAGGGGGTCAGAACACAGAAAATTCTCTTTTTATCTAAGTTCCTGAATCCTCGTTATGGGGTCTTATATATCTGAAATGATGTCTCACTATTGCAATATAGTATATTAGTACAAAAGAAGCAAGAAAAACACGAGAGAGAAGAGAAACAAAGTTATCTAAGCTTATCTAAATACATGTTTTATATGAAGTGGTTTACATGAAGTAGTGGTCGTTCGAATAACATTGATTCTTGTCAAATAAATTTTGATGATGGTTGCTTTTTAAATTCTTAATGAATCAATTCTTGCCAAATGTCTTTCCTTTGCCACCAAAATTAACCTTTTCAGTCCAGCCCAACGCCCTGTGAACCCATGTTTGGAGGCCGAATCGGATCTTCTCACCCGATCCCATGCAACTCTCATTTTTAAATATGTTTAAAAAAATATTTAGAATATTTTGTACAATGTAATATTAGAATTTCATATAAAATATATTTATAAAAAATTATGTTTAACAAATAATACTCTCAAACAAATAAAAGATAAAAACTTTTCATATATAACCTTTATAAATAAATATCGGATAAATAAGAATCAAAGTTTAAAATAAATACTCTGAAATATTAAAATACATAAACTCTTCGAATCATGTCACGTAGACAAATTGAACCTTATTGAGAATGAAAATCACATTTTTTCAATGATTAAGACTATTATTACTTAGCACGAATTTTGGAAGAAAGAGCAAAAGTAGAAATACATATTTTAAAGCCAGAAACTCACTCATTTGATCTATTAAGAGAAAAATATAGAAAAATTCATGCATTCAAAGGATATAAAGAAATGTGAAACATTTTTTGGGAAACTTATATTTCACATAGATAAAACATAATAAACTTAGTTTGTTCACTATACAATTCAAGCTGCTTAATATGTTTGAGAATAAGAACATATTGTTAGATAAGAATGTCTCTAGAAAACTTCATAAGAGAATTTAGATAAGATAGCCTGGTTATTATAAGTAAATTGTAAAGTAACGGGTATAATGTTATCTTTAATAGAAAATAGTGCATAATTAAGATATATTTTCTCATGTAAGAAACAAGATAACTTGCATAAGATTGAGCTAATTAAAACTCTAAAGGTATCTTGTCTTGTTTAAATTAATGCCTTGTTTAGATTAGAGAGTGGAAAAGTAAAAAAAGAAAAGAAAATGGAAAGTGAGATTATTTGGATTGAATAAAAGAGTGTAGAAAGTAAAGAAGTACAAGTAGAAAGATTGTAGGAAATAAGATTGTTGTGATTGAATAAAAAAATTGAAATAATAATATAAAGTATGTAATAATTGAAATAAATAAGAAATTGATACAATATAAACTAATTAATTTATATTATACATAAGAGATATAATAAAATTTTTATATAAAATATAAAAATAATTTTGGATATTTTCTATGAATGTTTAATTTATTTATTTTTGGATTAAGAAAAAAAAAGTGAAAAGTGAAAAGAAACTATAGGAAACTTTATAATTGATTTGAAATAATAATAAAAAATATTAATAAAATAATTTATTAAATTACTAAAATATCCTTAAATTTAATAAAAATAAAAATAAATTATTTTATAAAAAATATTACATATAAACTTATTTAGTATAAAAATCTTATTTATTAATAATTAAAGATATAGTCTAATAATTATATATAATTACAGATAACTAAATTTTTTAATATTATATATATATATATATATATATATATATATATTAATTAGTTTGAATTAAAATTTTCTTGACAGAATTAGTATCTTGTTCTATTTATATTCAAATATCTATACTTATTATCTTGATAAATTTTTGAAAATACTTACGATATACCGGTTTAAACCCATTTGATAAACATTTATTTTGTATATTATTTAGTCTTATTTGTTTGACTCTTAAAAAATCATAATTTACAATAAATTATTTTAAATTTTTATGAATTATCCCGGAGGTGCACTGAAATTTCATACAAGGGAAGGTTTAAATTTTCAATAATATTTATTTTTTTACGCAAGAAAACGGAATTTTTAAATTAATTAGAGTTTTATATTACAAGTTTCATAGAAATAAATAAATAAATAAATTATTATGTGTTCTCAAATTTATTATTTATTTAAATAATAATTTATGTAATTTAAGAAATCAAAATTATATATAAAAAAAAATTCAGAGACCAAACTTACATATAGTTAAAAATTAAGGGAACTAAAATTGTAATTTTGAAAATGCAGAAACTAAAATTAAGGCTAAAACCATTCTGTTATATACACATGAAAGAGAATTATTAAAACTGTATGATATTAACGAAGAAGCAAAGAGACCATATTTGTTTACATTCATCTTCTTGCAATTGGAAGGTAAGAATTGATATTGTGTGAGATTGTTTTTCATGGAAAACACGAGGAGCTTCACAGACATATAATCAAGACGAATATGTCTCATTATCGTACAAAATTAAGAGGCTATCCAATCATGGGGGCACTTTGGCCTACATATATGTGACCTATAATTCTCTGCTTGCCAAGGGTAGATCTGTTTATAAACCTCAAGTCAATGTACTTATGTTTCTCTATAAGTGATGGGTATATTAGGGCAAGTGAAGTATTTGATGAAAACTTTGGGTAGAGAGAGAACAATCTTGTACTTGATTTGTTTACTAAAAATCTAACAACCCCATGTGTTAGATTCTTACCCTATAACTAGGATAAATCTTTACAAGTACTTGTACATGCACAGCTTTGGAAGTGTATGGAAGAATAGTGTGCACATGAAGCCCTCTACCATTTGCTTTTCCAGATCGCTTCAGCTTTTTCCTTCTATACACAGCTTAAATTCCTCTTCTCGTTGGCTATAACTTGCTCAAAAATTAAATTCGTACTTTATTCTATTTGCATAAATATGTAATCTGCTTTATAGCTTTAACCTTTGACGACAATATCATTCATTATACACTATGTTTCACTTCCTTCGAATCTCGCTCTTCAACATTGATTAGATATTGATCATCGCTTGTTGCTACTGTTACAAAATCACTCCATCAAGGACATTCAAAGCTCTAAAATTTAAACCTCAAGTTTTTTCATTTCACTTCGATTTGTTGGTGAACGATTGGGTGTTATTGCTAGCTATTAGGTTAAACCAATGAATAACACTTTATTAACGTGAGAATTTTCCTTTTTTACTATAAAGCTCACAATTTTTTACCTTTATCTATTACTTGACATATACGTGTTTCCGCATATACAAAGTGTTAATCGTCTTCTTCTTCTTCTTCTTTTGTTTGCATATAAATGTGTGTGAGAGAGTATAGCTAAAACCATGAACATAACAAGTGGATGGTGGGTGAACAGACAAGGAATCGTACTATTACACATTTATGCCTTTCTACCATTTTCGTGTGGAAAGTAAAGGGGAAAACATTATGCAATTTGTTTGTTTGATTATAGCATTTAGAAATTGGGAAGTTTTCGCAAATGTTTTGGTAGAGAATAAACATTTTGATGAATAACAAATCATTAACTTTTAAATTTGCGACACCAACTTTAATCATCAAACAATGTTATTCTTCTTCTTTACATTCAAACATATTCTACGTTGGATTAAACAAATGTTAGTCAGAATAGATCACCTCTACTAACACGTTATAATAAGCTCAAATGAACTAATAAAGACACTTGGAACTAAGTCTGTCACGAACAATTTAGTTACGACATAACTTCAATGAATTTAAGGATAGAAGAATGTATCTTCAATTGGAATTAATTGATACAATTTTTCTCACAAAGTAGATAAAAACTCTCCCACGATGCCCTTGAACCCTAGCCCTACGTTCTTGTCTGTGTCTAATTGGAAGCTCTTTAAATACAACTTTATTACATTTACATACATTTCAAATTATTATTGATCCATCTTTAATGAATTTCAATTGTATTAGAAAGAAGACACACTACATTTACATGTTTTGAAAGTCGATTAAAATTAACTTCAAATATCTCATGAAATAACAACAAGATCCATTTGCATTATTTGTAGAAGACATTATCTCTCCACATGATAGATACTTTAAAAAAAATGTATGAAATTTGTTATGCCCTATTCAATTTTATGAATAAAAAAATTATATAATTAACTTTGTTATTATTATTATTATTATTATTATTATTATTATTATTATTTTTAAAATAGGCTTCAGAAAGTTGTAAATAGAGAAAATGTATATATAATTACTTTACTCCTTTGAAAAGGGATTTTTAGCGTCACAGGTTTTATCAGAATGTGATTGAAAATGAGAAAAAAAAATTGAAGTACATAAGTACAAACAGAGATTTTGAAGCTCTGTTACACGTTTCTGAAATTCGAGAACCAATGTGACATGATCCTAAATTAGGGGATGCATGTTGAAAATGTATTTCCTTTTCAAATATATACACACAAAAAAATCAACAAATATTAATTCAGCAGAGGTTAGAAAATTAATGTTCTAATCCAACAAGCCAAGTAAAAATATTATAATTCAAAAATAAAATAAAATAAAATAAAAATTGATCCATTAATTTCATCTATATCTAATAAACTCACTTTTAAATCATTTGAAGAGAAGGTCAATCCAACACAAACACTAAACAGAAAATATTTTTAAACAAGATATTTTGAAAAATGAGGATGAAAGTATCACAACAACTTCTATTACCAACCCAATGTTTGTATAATTATTCTATTTTGCTGATAAAAAGTAGAAAAGAAAAACCACTTTTGTTATGATGAGTACAACGTTTACGCGTTTACAGTTCCAGAAGAGAGAAGATGAGAAAGTAGACACATACAGTTTAATTAGTTTGTTTTTGATATCCATATTCTTAGCTGCCTAATTCCCTATTATAGTCTTGTCCACTTGCTCTGACAACTTGCTTCAACCCACTCTTTTGCACTATCACAATAGCCTATATATTTCAAGCCACAAAAGAAGAAACACCAACCAAAGACACCACACAACACTCAGAAATTTCCTTTTCCATGCCCCTCTCTCCCTCTTCCATGGCCTCAATCCCACAGTTCTATCCAAACTACACGTTCACTACTCACGATCTTTCCGAGTTCCCTACCCCACTCATGAGTAGCAACGCCTCAGTTATGGACAACACCATGTGGGGTGGTCAAGATAGCTTGATTCCTGTGCTTGATATGAATAATGGCGCGCTTGATCATATTGTGTCACTGGATTGTGATACCATGGCTTGTGCCAGTTGGATGCCATCCTTTTCTGAGCAGCTTGGGGGCCTTTCAGACTTGGCCATTTCAGACTGCAAAATGGGCTTCTATGGAGGCTTTCAGAACTTCAACAGCAGATACCAGCCAAATATTGGGGACTTTGGAGATGAATGTTGTGGGTTTGTGGAGGATGTTAAACCTCCTGCTTATCCTAATGCTGCAAGAGAAAACTGGGTATGCCTCAATTTTGTTGTTGGATTCCTCATCTTGTTTCATTGATGGTGTAGTGCATGCCAAGGTGTTAATTAGTTATGCCATGATCAATTGGTTTCAAAACCTTTTCATACATTATCATACATAGTTTTATTCTACAACAATTTTAAGAGATAGTGTGTTAATTTATGAGACGTGTCATATGCGAAAGTCTCTTCAAAATTTGAAAGTGGAACACCCAAATTTCATTTATGTATTTCCCCTAAAAAAAATTTCACTACCTGCTTAAGAAAATATTTCGAAAGTTCTTTCATGACATATGAAGGATAGGTTTTGGCCATGGTCAAACATAAATAATTTCGTGATACGTGGTTTCATTTTATTGAATTTTGTTTTCGAAATTCATGGCAGGGACTTCAAGGTAATCAAATGCAAGCAGTTGAAGAGCCTAACATAAAGGTAGGAAGGTACTCAGAAGAAGAGAGGAAAGAGAGAATTCTCCGATATTTGAAGAAAAGAAATCAAAGAAACTTTAACAAAACCATCAAGGTCTTTTTATATTCTCTCTTTCACACAGACGCACACACTTATACATGACTTTTTTTTTTTTTCCTTCTTTTCTTTTATCTTTCTGCATATATAATCTGGAATATGGAATTCACTTTCCATTGACCTGTTTCCACAGTACGCATGTCGGAAAACCTTAGCTGATAGGCGAGTCAGAGTTAGGGGAAGGTTTGCAAGAAACAATGAGCTTTGTGAAGAAGACATGGCATCAAAAAAGCACGAGAATCATCACCACAAAGAAGACTTCTACGGTGGTGATTCAATCCAGTTCCAGGTAACTTTCATTATACTGTTAAGATGGATATTATAAGAAACGAGAATCTATAGTTGATGACAATGAAATGTCATCCTATCTACACATTTTTAACAATAAACTAAGAAACTAAATGCTTTAATGAGTATACCTTTTATAGTATACATGTTTCAAGTCCTTTCAATATTAGAAAATATTCAATAAAAAAAATTATTTGTTTTATTTTACAAACATAAAAATGTGTAAAAAGTTATATAGGAGGGTTAATTTTTTTATTTCCAATATCTCCTAAGTTTCTCTCAATCAACTTTATGTGCAAAGTTAAGCCTTCTGCCATGCCTAATACCAGAAATTATGCATGCAGTTAAAGAATGATGAGGAGGATTGGCTGCAAGAGGCTATGGCAAGTCTTGTTTATCTATCTCATTCTTCACCTGAAGATATGTAACCTAGCATGAATGATTCCACATGGGAAGCTCTTGTTCAAGCAGATGTGGGTTCAAATGAAACTGGTAGGGGAAGGTGAATGGGAGGAGGAGAGAGTTTACCAGAGTTAATTAATTTCCAATTGTATGCTAATTTGTTTTGTTTGAGAATTAATCACGTAGATGTAAACTCTAATTGCATGGGGGTGTAACAAAGCAGAGGTTGTAGATGTTAATTTCATAGGCATCTTTGTTAAGGAATTCGATGGGCCTAGTTTGACTGGATACTTGGGTTGATTGAAAGGTATAATATTCCATGGAAGAGACTTTATGTTTGAGTAGACACAAATATTCCGATAAAACTAGCTTCTGAGTCACTATCTCTCAAACTGTTCCCAGTCATTATCTCCATTCATGTAATTGTCATCGTCATGATTACTGAAAGCCACTAATCGGAAATTCTAGTTCCCATTTTGAGATGGATATTGGGGTCTCTAAAAAAGGGACGTTTTACATTCACTTTTAATACCTTAACTTTTGAAAATATTACATTAATTAGTCTGAAGTAAGTCTCAGTTTCCCTCTCTGTTCAAAGTAAAATAAAAAGAAATATTACTTTTGGAAGAACACGATGAACAATCTTATATATACTTTCAAAGATTTTTCTCCCTTTTAAATTTATGTGGATATATTGTTTTTAAAATATTTTCTGTACTTTGAAAAACGTTTATAAATTATTTGACAAATAATTTAAGTTTGCAAAGTTTACTATATAATATTTATTTTCTTAGCCCTCGAATATATATAACACTTTATGAATTAAAAAATCATTTATTAATTTACATGTTCCTATTATTAAGGTATTCAAAATAATAATAATAATAATAATAATAATAATAATAATAATAATAATAATAACGAAGTTAATTCTTTATTCTTTGTTATAAATCAAATATAAAGAAAACCCTAAAAGAAAGATTTGACTAAAATTATGGGTGGAAGTTCATTTACCGTTTCATGTTATTAGTGTAGTTGCTTTCATACATTAAGCAATATATTTCATATATAATATGAAGGTATTTCGCTTTGAGTTACAATAGTGTATGAAAAAGGAAAATTATATATATATATATATATATATATATATATATATATATATATATATATATATATATATATATATATATTCCAAAATATGTCTTTACTCTTTGATAGATTTTCTCCCCCTTAAGTTTGGACATGATGGTGGAGACGATAATTATTAGCGTATAGCTTTTCCATTCACTTATGGATTCCAATCTTGTGTATGGGAAAGACGAAAAAAGGAATTATTCTTCATTTGATTGTGGAATATAATGTGAGAAAATTTAAGACAAAGACGTATGAATGTTAAAGGACAAAAAGGGAAAAAAAAGAAGAAGATGAAAAACCCTCTCTCTATTCCAAATTTTGTTCCCCTTCCCTCATTTTCAACCGGGTTAGGGCATAGAAAAACCTTATTAAGGGTAGGAAAAATTAATGATTAAAAATCAAATCATGGACATTTAGGTTAATTATGACTTGGTTTGGTTGTGTAAATATGAGATTCGAATTATAACTATAATTGGTTTATTGTTTAACCTATTCAAACCATTCTATTCATGAATTTCTGAATTGGTTGCGTTTCAGAAATGTGTTCATAAACTTTCCATCAAGAACTTATTACAAGCATTTATATAAGAATATAGTTAATTCGGTGTGGGAAAGGTTCGTGAAAATTCCTGTATTGCCCATTTATTGTCGTTAGCGTGGATGTATAAAAAATTAGGGTTTTCTTTCAAACGATCTGTGGAATTCAATTCCAATTCCTTGAAGGGCACGATGTCATGCCAAGAACATATATGCTTATCTGGACAAAGCAAGCATCTAAACAATGGTTCATATCCTTGTGGAAATTCAAGAATGAGAACGAATTTCTTGATATTTTCCCTGGTTTTTATATTGTTTAACACCATATAGCTTAAATTGCAACCAAATATTAAAGAAAAGAATTACATAAACTTTTGTCACTTTCATGATAAGGACTGTTACCAACAACTTAAAACTAGTTCTTTCTCCCTCTTTCGAATGTACAAAATCACAATTCTGAATGTTAATTATGTGATAAGTAGGTCACATAGCTCCTGAAGACACTGTTGCAAAATATATTGGAGACTGGTCCCTACCTTGTTGAAATGTCACGTTCTTTATATCCCCTCTTTTCTTGGTATCACATTGCTTTTCTGTGAACTATTAACTTCATTCGCTTCTTATAGTGGTGTCATTTTCATAGTTATCTTGCTCTCTCACTGTCATCATGTTCAATCAAGACTTTTAGGACATACAAATAATAGTCACACAACTTAGTTGGATATTTAACGTAGAAATTCTGTATTCACAGTGTGTAATATGTATCAAGTCATGGAGAAGAAGTGTATCTATTAACTTTAAGTAAACTAAATTTGATATTCTTTATAGATTAGTCAGAATAATTTTTTAAATACCACATCAGCTAGATATCGTATATAATAGTGAGTTATTTAATTTAATCTTAGAAAATCGACTCAGTTTGGTGAGAATAATATTTTTATCTATATATTATAATATTATTGTATCTTTAGTTAATATAAGATTTCACCTAATCTCATTTTAAAATGAATTTTTCATTACATTCCCTCATTTTTTAGGAGGATTTTTATATCTCAATATTGTTAGAGTTAGTTTTGATACTATTTTAGCAATAATAAAATATCTAATTCAATCTTACAAAACTGATTCAATATGTTGAGAATTATACTCATTTATATTATAATGTTATCTATCTCTAGTGATTTCATCATACCTTATTTTAAAGGGGATTTTTCATGTGTAAACCTCAACTTATAATCCGATTTTATAGGGTTATATTAGATACATTTTCATTTCTAACATGTTATTAGAATCTATTATAGTGAAATTTGTTAGTTTATCACTCTTTGTAATCATGTAAAAGAAAATCTTATTTTTCAAACCGATTTTATATATATGATTGAATTAGATATGTTATTTTTAATAAATACAAAAGTAATAAACATGTGTTATATTAAAGCCACATATATGTATAATAGTTTAGGGTTGATATTCGGTGACATTATAGAATTTACCTTGTAGAGTTAGATGTTTTTGCAAACTATGGTGGATTCCTTGATTAATGAGTCACACCTGAAAAGTAATTCCTGGCAACTTGTGTGATTTTAACTTTGTGGGGGCGTGCCCTCTACTGCAACCAAAAGCTTTTGTAGTCAAGAATAGATTGATTATTAAGCTATATGAGCACACTTTATGTGATTGAAAGTAGTATATAGTATGGTCCTTTTCAGATTCTACCAACAAGTATCCTTGTTCCTTCTAGATCTTGATGCTCTCCTCTATATGTTATACTTCATAGGATAGTTTTCTATACTCATGCTTTCACCCTTCCACACTATGTTTACTATACACGCGTTTTAATTTACATGTGCACGTTGTATACCAATAATTTTGTCTAAATTTCTTCTTAATTATTTCATGTTTAGCCCTCTTCAAGGTTAATGTTATCAAGACTTAATACAAAATGTATATAATAGAACTAGATTATATAAAAAAATACTAAATTAAATCAAACCATTTAGAATATAGAATTAGTTCAGATTGGTCTTTGAGTTCTGAACAACTTGCTTTTTTGAAAGATAATTAAATTTTTCAATTATTAAAAATAATTATAATTATTTATTAAATATGTATAGTATACAATGAATGTTAAAATAAATGATAAAGAATTAAACATATGAATAAATTTTTAAATTTTTTATGTATATATTTTGTGTAGAAAAAATATATATCCATATCTCTTAATATAAAAATATATGGATTTGAACTCGTATATTTAGTTATTTCTAACATTTTTCTTCAAATTGACACGTAATTGTATTAATTATATATAATAAGTTTGTTATAAATATAATTAATTCTAAAATTTTATTGTCCTTTTAACTAAAATTTTAATATTAAAGATCCATGTGTATAATTATTTTCATTTACCCCAATGGAAAGATAATCGCTGACATAATTAGTAAAAATAGGAGGATTACACCAAGTTAAAAAATCATGAACCATAAAAGAAAACAATAATAGAAGAGAGAAAAAAATCTAATAAAGGATGATAATCATACAATTACAATAGTCAAAACAAGAATATAATAAAAAAGGAAATAAAAAGGATAAAAAATTAGAATGAAAAAAATTTCTTAAAGAGAAAACAACAATAGAAAATACCTAACAAAGAAACTATAAATATACAACTATGATTGTCAACGACAATAGAACAAGACTATAATGGACAAGAAGGTAAAAAAATAAGAATAAAATATTATTCTAGAAGGAAAATAACATCCGGACAAATCCAATAAAATAATGATAATTATGACTTCAACAAACAATGGTGATGACTATGAAATAACATTGTAATGAAGAAGGTAACAAATTAGAATAAATCATAATTTTAGGAACAGTTTTTACTCCAATAGACAAGGGATCCATGGAAGGCACAAGTTAGGGTGTAGACTCTAAATTTCTTTTTAAAGTAAATAATAGAGACTCATATGAATAAAATATTTGCATGTATTATGTATATAGATATCATGATACAGAAATCCATATATTTAATATACGAGTGATTAAGATAAACAAATAAAAAGAACTCCAGTAACATTCATTTATCCACGTCATCGATAATATATAGTTCTCATTTATGTAAATATTAAATAAATAGATTATAATTAACTTGATTAAACATAACATTTGTTTGAAATATATGTATTCTTATCTTTTATTTAAAATAGGTATTAAGAAATTTTTTTATTATTTTTTAAAATAAGAGAAAAAGATATTATGTTTATTTTGATTTAGATAATTATGATTGAAATATTGTTAATAATTGATATTTTGTCATATTTTTACTTTATATATATAATGAGATATAAGATCA